AGGGAACGCCACGGACACGCCCTTTAACTTACAGTCACAAATAGCACAACTTTTAATCAGCACCATTTTTTGACTGTACTGACTAATTTTGAAGAAGATCTGAAAAATTCTCTAGGAGGAGTTCGTTCAAATACAACGCGAAAAATCACAGAAAATGAGCAAAAAAATCTAAATGGCTGACTTTGATGGCACGCCACGGACATGCCCTTTAATGTACATGCACAAATAGCACAACTTTTAATCAGGACCATTTTTTGACTGTACTGACCAATTTTCAAGTAGATCCAATAAATTCCCTAGGAGGAGTTCGTTCAAATACAACGCGAAAAATTCACCGAAAATGCGCACGGAATTCACTATGGCCAACTTTGAGGGCTCGCCACGGCATGCCCTTCTACCATTTTTTGACTGTACTGACCAATTTTGAAGCAGATCCGATAAATTCCCCAGGAGGAGTTCGTTCAAATACAACGCGAAAAGTTTGCCGAAAATGCGCACGGAAATCACTATGGCCAACTTTGAGGGCACGCCACGCACACGCCCTTCAACGTACATGCACAAATAGCACAGCTTTTTATCAGAACCAAATTTTGAAGCAGATCCAACGTATTTCCTAGGAGGAGTTTGTTCAAATACAACGCGAAAAGTTCGCCGAAAGTGAAAATCAAAATCAAAATGGCTGACTTCCTGTGGGGTTTCAGGTATGGGTCCAAGAGGCTTTTTTGTACGTCCCGGCATGTTACACGTGCCTACCGAGTTTCGTACATATCGGTGAAACGTGGCGCCGGGGCTACGTTTTTTTTTATCCTGTAGGGGGCGCTACACACACGACAAACACGGTTTTTGGTATGTGAGCTTCAGGCACTACTCTACACGTGCCCTGTGAATTTCATATTCATAACTATTACGGTCTCCGCACAGTGATTTATCATGCCAAAAGAGTGCCACCTAGTGGCGTATTTTTTTTGTCCTTTTTAAGTGAGCCTCAGGGAGCCATGGGGAAGCATCGTACCAAGTTTCATTTTAATCACACATACCTTTGTAGAGATATAAACTTCTCCATTTTAAAGAGCGCCACCTAGTGGCAATGACCTGAAATTGTTCATGATGCCTAAGAAAGACGTGAGTAACTATGGACCCAAGCTTGGTGACAATCGGACATAGCAATGTGGAGAAATGGTCCACTTCCTTTTTTGACGAAAAATCCACAGGAAGTGTTAATTTTAGAACATGCTTATTTTTTTAATATCAAAATTCTTTTAATTACTATTTTATTAGGGCGGTCCCCACATGTTACGTGAAAAGTTTTGTGCGAATTGGACAAAGCACATGGCAGGAACACGGAAAAGTTGTGTATGGACATTTCGCGCAGAAAAAAAAATTCTAGGCGGAAGTGGGCGGGGCTTACATGGGGAGATTCAGCTCTATTCACCAAACGCGTGGATACAAGGTTTTTGAATGTGCGACAAACTATGCAGAAGTTATTAGCCTAAACGCATTTTTTATGATAGTAGCGCCACCTAGTGGCCAACCCGAAAGCGACACATAGAATATAAAATTTTTCACCAGGCCTGACCACTTTGCACTTTGAGTTTTCGTATATTTTCAGGGGGGCAAAATCGCAGTCAAAGGCACTAAAAATAATAATAAGAAACATAGCAAATACAATAGGGACCTCCAGCGGTCGCTGGCTCGGTCCCTAAATATATTATAATCAATATATTATCTGTGGTATCAAGGTGCAAAGAGTTCCTGTTCACAAAAGAAAATATGCATTGTTTTGCAGTTTATACCCCTCAGAAATAAAAAAGGTCTATAGAATCTATTCTATTCTATAATTTGATAAAGCAAATATAAGAGAAACTCTATTTGTAGATTTTTGTCTGAAATCTTTTTCTTTCATAATTTGCCTCATTTTGTTACAAAAAAATCACAGAAACTAGTATCCTGAACCCAGTATCGTGAATTGTATGAAAATAATGTATTCTCAAAATCCCTAGCCTTTAATACTGTTACACCACTATGATTTTGTGGATGAGCGTTTTTTTGCAATAGACCTTAGTGTCAATCTGAACAGATGGTAAATGGACCTGTAGAGTGCTATCTAGTCTTCCGACCACTCAAAGCGCTTTTACACTACATGCCACATTCACCCTTTCACACCCATTCACACAGTGAATGTCCATTGTACAGATACTAACTCATTCATACACATTCACACGATGACGCAGCATCGGAAGCAATTTGGGGTTCAGTATCTTGCTCAAGGACACTTCTACATGCAGCGAGAGGAGCCAGGGATTGAACTAACAACCTTCCAGATAGTGGACGACTCACTCACACCTCTGAGCCACAGCCACAGATGCAGTGAGAAAAGAGCCTAGAGCCAGAGTAAGGAGGAGACCACGAACAAAGACAGAGGAGCACTGGAAGACACAGGTGGAAACATAAGGAAACACAAAGGAAAACACTGAAGTATGGCTACAGCCCTGATAAAACTTGAGTTATGATAAAAAAATAAAATATAAATTCTAAAATTTCTAAAACTTATAAAATCTAAAGCAAAAGCATTCTTTCTAACACCAGTGAATAAAACTAATTCCAGATTTTGACAGGTGGGTAATGGGTTTTTACATACATTTACCCTCCAATGTAACCTTTCTCACCAGACTTGAGGGGTCATTCTGGTGACTGTATGACGTGGGTGTCGTATTTTAGGTTGAATGGAAGAGAATAGAAAGGTTTAATGCAAGCTAACCACCGCTTTTCTACTGTGACTCCCCAAAACATCTCAGTTAACAAGGCACTCATGGCTATAGAGTTAATCTGAGAGTGTAGTTTTTCTTGAAGACAAGGTTCAATATCACCTTCTGGGTTCTCATATGGCCCTGCATGTGAATGCTTCAAACAGCATGAAAAGGTGCCTCATCTGTGCTGCAGCAGGTAGCATGAACAACTAAATGTTGGAGAAGCAGGTGACTGAGCAAATCCTGTGCAACCACTGTCTCCCAGAAATTATATTTATATATTACTACATGGTTTTATCATTGATGTCCTGTTAAACGTAACCGCTGCCTGGATTATTTTTTCAAAAACTTTTGTGATTTAGCATTAATTTCACGAGCAGAGCAGCTTCATGGCAGACTCAGACCAAGTCACTCACTGCCAGTCTATGTGATGATAGATCTTTTGACTTACAAGCAATTACAACGATTTGTATGGCAAATACAATTTTATGTTATATATTACTATAGATTATATTTATACTAATACACATAATTGGGTGTCCTGATAGCTCATCTAGTTAAGCTGGAACCCCATGTGCCAGGGCTTGCATGGGTTCTACTTTGACCTATGGCCCTTTGTTGCGTTCCCCTTAAATTACCCTAAACACACACAAATAATACAGACAAATCAGTCAGTATTCTCTGTGTTCTTTCATTTAGTAGCGGTATTTCGTCATCAAAGGTCATACTTTAAAACCCTTTTGAAAAAAAATATTTATTTATTTTAGTTTACTCAGTGATGAAATAGGGTTCCCTTAAGGAAAAAGGTTGGGAACCCCTGTTCTAACACATACATACCAACATCTGCTGTTGGAAGACATGCATGGTGCACAACTTCTGTCTTAAAGACAATCTAAGACACCACAACATATGTTTCATAGTTCTGTTGGATGCGAGGCACAGGCTCCAGTAGATTCACAGACTGAAACAGATGGGCTGATACAGTGTCAGACACAGTATTTAGAGGATGATTCATGGAAATGAGCTGCTGGCTACTGTGTCTCTCAAAGGTTTAAGATAGGCATGTAACTGTAGTGCAAGCAATTTTGTGTGTGTATGGATGTGTGTATTCTTTTTGGCATGTATTGCTGGGTATGTGAGTGACAGTGTGTGTATGTGGAACCCAAAATAGATAACATAACCTTTCTTATAATCCACTGTGCCTATATCAAGTACTGATATATATTTAGAGTATCCATCACCAAGTTTATGAATAGACAATAACACTTTGTCTGTCATCAAATTCATATTCCTCTGTCACCTACTCATTTGAAGACATATTAAGTGGCATTTCCACTTAATATGTAAGACAAGGTTAAACTGTGAGCTCAACAATGAAGGCAACACTTGTCATAGGTATATCTCAGTTCCCTGGAATTCAAATGGGAATTATATCCATTTTCAGTAGAACATATAGTGGGAGCAATAATTATTTGATCCCTTGCTGATTTTGTAGGTCTGCCCACTTACAAAGAATGGAATTCTGTATAATTTTAATAAGAGGTACATTTTAACATTGAGAGACAGAATATCACAAAAAAATCCAGAATAACAACATCATAAAAATGTTATATATTTATTATCATATTTTCTCATGAAATAAGTATTTGATCCCCTACCACTCTCTTTTCAACCTGTCTGCTGTAAACCATGGAGGTGGACACTCACTTCGCTTTCTCCGGGAATAACGCAACTTTACTAGTAATACCAACACTTTTTACTTCATAAAATAAAATCAATGTTTTATAAAAGCTGGATGGATAGGAATATTTGGTGTGTAATGGAGGTGTAATATTACCATACAATGTTTTTATTTTTTAAATATGACTTGCAACCGCAATACTCATAAGGAATGTGTTGGATATTGCATTAATCCTAGCAAAAAAAAAACCCACATAGAAAAGATAATACATTTAAAATTATTTTTTACTTATGGGAGTCATTTATTCTTCTACCTCGTTTTGGTGTGACTTTATTTTGCCTTATTGCATCCTGGAATGTTGAAGATGATGAAGTTCATTATTATTTATTATACGACGTGGATATGTTCTCCATGCATCTCCCATAGACTAATAGAACAGGCACCAAACAGCCTTAGAATGTTGGTTGATATAATGACCCTTTCTTCTTTTTTAGTTTCCTTAATTGTATAGCTACCACTTGAGGGCGGTAATGTATACTTTTGTTGTGTGACAACTGCCATTTTTCCTGCAGTCTTTGAAGGAAGCAATGAAACAGCGCGTGCGCTGGCCGTTAGTTCTCGAGTCACATTTGAAATTGAACCGGCAACACAGCATTGGGGAAGAGCAGCGGTGGTGAACGGAAAAGTAAACGTGTGTAAGTTATCTTAATGTATGTATTGGCAAAAAATATGAAAAGCACCGTTTTAGGTTCACGATTAGATAGACACACTATAGCGCGAGCCTCGTGGTGTCTAAGTCGGAAGCAACTTCCCTGTTTTCTTCATACTTAATGATGTTTGCGTTTGCGTTAACGTTAGTTTTTAACTTAGTATTTTGACCCGAGAGCGTTAATACAGAAGTATCGTTAGCGACTAACGTTAAGTAGGCCCAGACATAACTAACGTTACTTCTATTCAAGGTATTCATCGTATTTCTTCGGTTTCCCAGCTATTCGGCAGTTAAGAGGAAAGGTAAACAGTTGATAAAATTGAGCGACCAATTCACCGTTTTTGCAGTTATTGTTGTGAAAGGATATTACATCCTAGTCAAAGCCTTAACGCTCTTTAACGTATTTGCTGAAACTTTCAGTATATCTTGGCAGTAGTATATGAGGCAGAGAATATGTGAAAAAATCTAGTTCTTATGGCTCCTATTGCTCCTAATGGCATTTGCAAGAATCCACCCGGCCTGAACGAAGACAACCCATCAGAGGTGAGAGACTGGACATTGCTGAGTCTAAAATAAATAAAATAAAAGCGAAAATGCTTACTTCCTCCATAACCTCCCTATCTATAGTGCAACAGCGTGCTGCGTCTGATGTCATTGTTATTGTTCTTTTGCGCATTCGGAACCGCAGTTCACACTGGAATCTGATATAGGCCACATTTTAAAAGGTAATGTGAACAGCCAAACAAAAAATCGGATCTGAACAAAAAATTCGAATTGAGCTTTAAGACTTGCGGTGTGAACGTAGTCTAATTCCCAGGGCTTCAAATACAGATCATTTGGGACCCTGGGAATGAGGCTCAAGAAACAATTTTCAAGCTTCCAGCCCAGACCGTCTTGATATCTTTCTCGTCATTAAATGGTTGTTTTCATTTAGGCCCGGTGGATTCTTACAAATGCCATTAGGAGCACTAGAACGAAACAGAGGGACCTGATTTCTTTCACTTTGTCTCATTTCCTACTGTATGAACACAGTGAAAATCTCAGCAAGGGACATGACAAAACGTTTTTTTATATATAAAAGTTACCTACTGCAGCTTTAATACAGTTTAAATCCCACTTTTACATTTGTAAAACGTTTTCACCAGGTTAGCAGGTAAAATAATGTCTTAATGTCTGTTTTTAGTGACTAAATTGAATGTGTCTCTCTTTAAGGAAAATGAGCGATCTGGAGGATATCGGCCACCACATTCATGACAGAATATCATCCTTACAGCGCCTGCTGGATCTGTCAGTTGTTGGTATGACAGTGATTTATCTGAGACAGGACTGGTAACATTTAACACTGTTTTATTATGCAAAGCTAAAAGTAGTGTGTCATGTTTTTCTCTCTCTCTACATTTAGAACTGCCTCAACATAAAATTAAGAAACTTGGTCAAGAAATATTTGCACTTGAGAGACTCCTGGAGGAGTTTGAAAAATATGTTGGCCAACATAAGGAGCAACTAAAGCATCTGAAGGTAAACTATAAGCTTGAGATTTTGTAGCCAGTGCATAATCAGCACTTCATGCAGCTGCTTTACAGTACAATTCATCCATTTGTGAACTAGGTAAATTCAGCCGCAAGCCAAGTATAAACATGTAACACATGCTTTTTAGATGTATTAAATGTAGTTCTTAAAGGATCATTGTGTAGGATTTAATTCAATTCAATTCAATTCAATTTTATTTGTATAGCGCCAATTCATAACAGAAGTTATCTCAGGACACTTTTCAAATAGAGCAGGTCTAGACCGAACTCTTTAAAACATTATTTACAGAGACCCAACAGTACCACCATGAGCAAGCACTTGGCGACAAGGGCAAGGAAAAACTGCCTGTTAAAAGGCAGAAACCTAGGACAGATCCTTCGGCTCTAGGTGGGTGGTCGTCTGCCTCGACCAGTTGGGGTGAAAGAGAGAGAGAGAGACAGAGAGACAGACAGACAGACAGGTGCACAGCAAGAACAGTATTGGCAATGGCAATCTAGCAGGACCATGGCAGGAGGCTCCACCAGGATCCATGAGAACCTGCGAGACGAGAAAGCACAAGAACTCCGGGGAAGAAGTGAAGTTAGTAACATGCATTAATGGGACATGAATGAGTGCAGAAAGAGAGAGGAAGAGAGGAGCTCAGTGCACCATGGGAAATCCCCCGATAGTCTAGGCCTATAGCAGCATAACTAAGGGATGGTTCAGGACTCACCTGATCCAGCCCTAACTATAAGCTTTATCAAAGAGGAATGTCTTAAGCCTACTCTTGAATGTGGTGAGGGTGTCTGCCTCCCGAACCACAACTGGAAGCTGGTTCCACAGGAGAGGAGCTTGGTAACTGAAGGCTCTGGCTCCTGTTCTACTTTTAGAGACTATAGGAACCACAAGTAGCCCAGCATTCAGAGAACGTAGTGTTCTAGAGGGGTAATAGGGTACTATGAGCTCTTTAAGATATGAAGGGGCCTGACCATGAAGAGCTTTATAGGTGAGGAGGAGGATTTTAAATTCTATTCTACATTTTACAGGGAGCCAATGCAGAGAAGCTAGTACAGGAGAGATGTGATCTCTTTTTCTAGTTCCTGTCAGTACTCGTGCTGCAGCTTTCTGAATTAATTGGAGCGTTTTAAATTTAGTGTCATGTAGCGGTATAGTTTCAGATTACCCTCGTCTCACCCTTCTGTTCCAAGCGTGTAGGAGAAACAAGAAAGGCCCTAGCTACAGCCAGTGTTTGGATTGTCCATTCTGGGATATTGTAGAAACACTCTGTAGAAGAGGATGGCTCATTCTAAGGTGATCCTTATTTTCAGGAAATTATTTTGGCACCCATGTTAACAGGTTAAAGCAACCACACTGCCCATGTGAGTCTCAGGCGGTGCTGCAACCGTGCTTCGCTAGAGAGTCAAGGTCTCACCCATTTTTTCTGCAAGCAGTTCCAAGCAAAACTATACAGTGAAAATAATCTGTTTGTAGTTATATCGATATTATACCAACAACATATACACCTTTCACTACAGTTTCAATGTCTTATTGTTTTTATCAAAGGCACATTTATTTTAGTTGTGGCCTGCCAGAGTATCAACATTGACTTTCACATATTGGTTTTCTATTATGTTTACTATTTAAAATGGGTAAAATCCCATGCAACTGTAGAGCTGCATGCAGAGCATTGATTTGCTGAGCTCCCCATACCCTGCTCTTGCTCTCTCTCTCTCTCTCTCTCAAACAGACTGTAAATAGCCCCTCTTCTCCGTGCATACCTGATATCATATTCAATGCAGCAATGCGATTACCCTCTTCACTTTTTCAGCACAGTTACACAGAAGCTTTACCTTTGTCTTGTGAAGCTGCAGCCTTTATTAACTGATAAACTGTAACCTACACTGTACCTTTACTACTAAGCTGACAACTTCACTGCTCACTTTTTCCACACTGTCCCTTTCTGCTGTTAGTCTCTCTTTCTCTCTCTCTCTCTCTCTCTCTCTCTCTCTCTCTCTCTATCTATCTATCTATCTATCTATCTATCATATCTATCTATCTATCTATATATCTATAAAAAAAAAAAAAAAAAAAATAAACTTAGCACAAAAAGTAAGGACATTTGTGTTTGGTAGATTATTTCTCTGTGCATGCCACATGCATTTGTGGGATGAGCAGCAGTGCTGAGTATGTGGGTTGTGCCCATGAAAAATTTGCCAAATCTTTTCTGCCATTGCCAAACAGGTTATTTTGCTGTTGCTATTGACACTTGTTTTGAGCTTCTGGTCCCCCCCTGCCTGATTGGCAGCACCTGTGAGCATGGGCCCTATTACTGTAAGTACAGCTACAGTCAGGAAGTGTCTGCTCAAAGGATCGGCATGCCGCGTTTGACTGATCTGGATAGGGCCCTTGCGATAGGGCAACTTCAAGCTGGTGTTCCGCAAAACCAAGTTGCGGCATTATTTGGAGTGAGCCCTAGTACCATCTCCAAACTGAAGGCCAAGTTCCATATCACGGGGATGTCAAAGACAAAGACATGAAATAAATATACTTTACCATGATATTCTAATTTATTGAGATGCACCTATATATGGTCCTGCAGTGCTATGATCATGATGCACATATTTGCTATGGAATTTTCAATGGTGTGAACAGTTGACCTCTTATACTGATACTGTTTTTTTCGTTGTTGTTTTTGGCAGTTCTGTAAAAACATTTGAATGGTTTTAGTGACAGCCTAGATTCTTCTCATTATGAAAGTAGAGTACATTCAGAAAAAACTGTAATGATGAAGCACATTTGTTTTTGTTGCAGGAACTTGAGGAGTCATTCCAGAAGGATTTGGAGGATGTCCAGGACATTAGGGACAACATACCTGCACACATGCCTAGGAAGAAATGTCCAGCAACGTGAGACAATATGATGTTTATATGTATGGTAGCTTGCTAGGAATAGTTCAAAAATTTGTGCGCTTACAACAAATTGAACAGTCAATAAGTACAAACTGCATCACTTCTATTTAGATATTTAAAGAGAAAATATGTTAGTGCTAAAGACAGCAAACATCAGTTAATTGCTCAATGTTAATAGCTAACTCTTCTGATAATCAATCGATTGTTTAAGACATTTTTCAAGCAAAACATTTGATGGTACCATTTTTTTCAGATGTGAGAATTTAGTGCTTTTTTCTGGTCTTAACATTGTAGTAAACTAAATCTCTGGGTTTTGGACTGTTTCTGATGGCTGGGCCTCACTGATTACTTGATGAACAAAAACACAACTTTATTACTTTGAAACAAGATCATATTTTATGGAGTAAATAGTTTCTGTTTTAAAGTGCTTCTGTAGTTACCGTTAGCGTTTGTCGAAAACAGAAGTAGCTAGTGTGTTAATTTCAGCTTGTCTCTAACTCGGAGCTTTCAAATTTTAGGGCTCAAATGATTTTGATAGGTCTTTAAAAATGTATTTGATTATGAACTTAGCATGACATTGAACTAATGACCATTAATGCAAACTGTGCTCAACGTCAGGATTTATTAGAGCACACCCAGCTAATGTGTCGCCATGTGGCACCTCTTCTGACCAAAACAAGCTACTTCTTTAAGTAATTACTTAAGTTTAGTTTCTTTTCACATTGTAACATTTACAATGTTACAACCAATCAGTTGTGGCCCAAATGCTTGGTTGAAGCCTGTTGGAAATACATTTGGAGCCCACTGCACCTTGTGCAAGAAAACAAGCACATCACATGGAAAGTCACAAATGTTAAGTTGAATGTTCATGTAAATGTGAATAAATTCACTGACACTGATTACATAATCCTGGGACTTGATTTTCCTTAATATCTTATGTACTTTTTTGCCAGTATGGATGTGAAAAAAGTCGATGAATTGCATTCATTATGGTCTTAAAGGGTCTTAAATTTAACTTGTTGAAACCTGCAAAAATTACAAAAGCAATAGCATGCTAATAGAAAACAACTTTGAGCTCTGAATGACGGATTTCTCATGTTTAATGTTCTCATCTCTCAGTGGAAGTGAACCTGTAATGAACCAGAATGAGGCACCAGACATACAGCCAGCACAGCCGGAAACTGTCAAAAAGAACAACAAGAGCTTCGTCAGAGAGATGGAGTTTATCACGATGCCAGAGTTTGAGAACATCCCTCAGTAAGTATTTTCCCTCACAAATATCCAGCATGATATGATATGATGCGATGCATATTTGTTCATGATGGTTTTGGGTCATGCTGTAATACTGCAGCAACAATAGTAGTGTCTAGATCTTCAAGGACAGAGTCGTGGGCAATGAAATGTCTGAGTTGTCAAAGCAAATTGTCTCTGGTAGGTCAGGCTAATACTGACGAACATTACAATTCAATTCCATTTTCTTTGTACAGTGCAAAATCATAGCAGAAGTGATCCTTTTCATATAGAGCAAGTCTAGACCGTACTCAATTTGGAGAGACCCAACAATTCCCATCATGAGCAAGCACATGGTGACAATGGCAAGGAAAAACCTCCTTTTAAGGGGCAGAAACCTTGATCAGACCCTGCCTCAGCCGGTTGGGTTTAGAGAGGAGGGGAACCTCAGTGCATCATGGGTCCCCTGGCAGTCTAAACCAAAACTGGAAGCTGCTTCAACAGGAGGCAGAGGCATGCAGTAAAAATGTTTACACCCAGAGACTTACTTTACTTTTCAGTGTAGCTAATCTATATCTGCTCATCTAGGTGTCTGTTCACCACATTGTCCACTGGGATGGAAGCACATCCTCTCCTTACATTCACCCATACACAAAAGGCTGCTCATTAGAGACATTTCTGGCTTTTAATTTAGCTGTAGGTTAAACGGAAATTTTAATTTAGACTAGTCAGCTTCTCTAAAAGTAAGAAAACGCTTCACAAGTTACACTGTTGGATTCCCCAGTATAACTGGTTACATGTATTTGACGTGGTGCAGTTTGTTACATTATTGGCATTTACATGTCAATAAACACGTTGGTAGTTTCTCAGTGCTTAAAGTCATTGTAATCTGGGTATTTTCTCTTCAACACCAGTTCCACTATCTTCTTTCCACAGAATAGTGCCACCAGATTTGTTTTGAGGTTAGATGGGTAGAGAATGAAACTGGCTGCTAGAATCCCAAGCAGACCACCGTGATGAAATGTATTGACTATAACTTCTAAAGTGGGACAGCAGTAGCATTAGTGCAGGGACTAATGGCGCACATCCATACTGCTCATCAGCAGCTAACCAACCCGTTCACATACATTTACACTGGAGCTGGGGATTGAACCTTCTCAGGGCTCCAGACTAAGTTTTTGCATTGGTTGCACTGGTGCGCCTAACTTTTTTTTTTTTTAGGTGCACCAGTACAAAATTTAGGTGCACCCAAATTTTTCACTGCATCGCCTTTAACACCATAAGGTCACCTTTTTATCGCTCTCCATAACTTTCATATAATGTAAATGATTTTTAAACAAGAATAAGATGTAGAGAAATGCTTGTCTTTATTTGAAGCACAATTATATATAAATAGAAAAATAAAGTGCTTCACTGAGCTGAAATTGAACATTCAAACTAAACATTTGAACATTGAACAAATAAAAGTTTCGATACAAAGCGTTGTTGACCCGCTCACGAATGCACTATTTCCGGCCAAGGAGAACACAGAGAGATGATGCGCTTGCGAAATAAATTTGTTTTCACCCGGGCAGCGTCAGGTGCACCAGTGCGACCTAGAAAAAATATAAGTCGCACTCTTAAAAATTTTGGTCGCATGTGCAACCAAATTGGTTGCGCTCTGGAGCCCTGCTTCTGATTAGTGGACAACCCGCTCTACTGCCACAGCTGCCCTTTATCATTAAATAAAAAGTATAATGTTAATATAATAGTATAATAATATAAACTCCTCAGTATAAAAGTATACATTATAGCCTACAACTAGTATACTATCAGAATCAGAATCAGACATACTTTAATAATCCCGTGGGGAAATTACTTATTTACTAACTTCAACTCCAGTTGGACAATACAGCAGTCTAAGAAATACACAACCGACTTTTCTAGGTTTTGTTCTTTCATTAAACCCTTGTGCATGAAAAAATGACCTACAATTTTGGTTAGTCTCATATTAATTTCCTGATTTACTTTTAATTGCCACAAGGGGGAACCCGCATCTTTCCAGTCATTCCAGAATTCTAAGCCTGTCACCATGGCTTAAGGCTCTGCTTTCCCACTCTATCTAATAAACTGTTACACTGGATGTGTGGAAATACTATCGATTCCAAACTACAGGAGTAATAGAACGTCAAGGAGATGAGGGTCCTGTCTGAGGTGTCCTACTTTAAAAATAGGCTCTAGTTGCCTGTGACCCTGCAAAGAATAAGTACTTCTAGATAATTGACATTTTCTTGTGCACTCCAGGGAATATCAATCAAACTGGTGTTGGTGTATTTATTTAGAAAGGCTTGTATCTGTTTTTTGCAAGTGAACTCTTCAAATCAATATCTAGGACATGGGTAAGTATGAGAGGTAAACATTGGACATTTGATTTCATTAACTCATTCAGTGTGCGTGTATATGTGTGTCCTTTTTTAAGCTTTATGTTGTTTTGTAAAGCTGAACGTTGTTTCACTCAGGTACATGAAAGGACGTATATCATACGATCAACTTAATGCTGCGGTGCAAAGTATTAACATAGCTGTAACAGCCAAGTACAAGATCCTCCATCAGTCGGTGAAAACTCTCAACAATCATACACGCAAGCTGCACCAGCGCTTTAAGGACCAGGAGACTAAAGTAACAAAAGGTACTCACAGTTTGATGACACCTTGCAATATACATTGTCTGATCAATACTATAACCAAAGTTCTATCCTCAGTGAAATCTGATGAGACATTTTGATCTGATCCCATACATCAATATAGCAGTGTACTTAGTTATTACCACATTTGTTATTATACTGTAATATATATCATCAGCTCTATATTCTTAGTCTGAGACTCCCCTAGAGAAACTTTTCACGATTCACTATTAAAGAACATCCTTATTTATCTTACATTGGCTCTTCATACTGCTCCTCATGAAATTGATGAAATTACGGGAACTTGCAAAAATTGCGGGAATTTGCAAAAATTGCGGGAACTTGCAAAAACTGCGGTTTGTTGAAAGGCTACTACCTTCATGTAAAGAGTTTATTTCTTATTACTTCCTATGCTAAGCAAGAATACTACATCACAGAAAGTGCTGGGAATATTTAAGTTCTCATCTTGTTTTATTTCAGACCTTAATAAACACATGGCTCAAACTTACAAAACATTGATAAGTCAAACAAGTTCTGTAGCTAGTAACACCGGGAAACTGCTTTGCTCGGTCTTTTGCACTTATTTTTGTTGGCAAATGAGACTGATTTGCTGGCTTCATGATGGCTTCATTGCAGAGTTTGCAGCTTTTTGATGTTCACGTTGCGTAATTACGTCACTTCATAACGTTCCAATGGCAACAGTGGAAAATGGCTGCTCTCGTGTGAAGTAAACGCAACATTTTTCAACTTTCTGCTAAGATATGTGCCTTTTTTGCAACGAAAATGCGGGGATTATGAAATCATGCAAGCCCCGCATATTTTGCGCGGACATCGGCAATTTATGCGGCAAAAGTGCAGCGTATTTGAAAAAATGCGGCCCCTGCATAAATATGCAGACTTTGGCTGATTATGCATTGAATTATGCGATCGCATAATTGTGTTTTTCTGGAGGGACTGGTTAATGGACACACACTGCTCAGGAGGCCTATGTTAACAATATGTAAGCCCTCCCTCCATTAAAGCCCACTTTCTTTTGATTGGCCAGCATGCAAAGAGGCTGCACCAAGTGCTTGTGAGCCCCATTTCATCCTCTTGCTATTGTGCTCCACAACATTACAGTTTGAAAATGGGGAACATCTTTTGGTGAAAATTGGTTATACTTCTTTGTTTTCCACAGCAAGAAAATCAAATTGTAGAACAGCGCATAGACCTTTTTAAAAGCTAAATAACATAAGAACAAGGTTTTCGACTTCTTGTCAAAATCAGCAAATATTTCTGACTGACAGTACACTGGTCTCACTGTTGTGTTGAAATGTTTTTCAGGTCAGTATTTCGTGGTGGAGGATGACATTCGTGAATTTACTCAGATGAAGGTGGACAAACGATTCCAGGGGATTTTGAACATGCTGCGACACTGCCAACGCCTACGGGAGCTTCGAGGGGGGGGGGTCATCCGCTTTATGTTGTTGTAAATTAACAAGACTCAGACAAGAAGACAGATAGCTATTTCAGTGTGGCTGTTTTTTTTTATTATGGTAACATATTAGGCCAGCAGTTTGCATATGTGCATATTTCCTGATTAATTGTTGTCACATTATTTTGAGGCTTTTACAGATTGAGAGGTTTTTGATTTGTCAGATGATTCAGCACATTCTTTGAGGTAAAACATTGTGTCCCTAACAAAATGGGACAGGACTGGAAAGAGTACACATTTACCACCTTTATGTACACATAATACTGGAATATGTATGCTGATGTATGTTGTGGTATAAATAATGTTATATCTGTATTTTTAAGAACAAAATAAAAAATATACATGTGATTAATACATTGAAAGCCTTATAATTAAGTATCCTATATTAAAGCTTCCCTGTTTACCCATCAGATTTATGTTGACAATATGGGAAATGTTACTCAGATTTATTGCCAGGTAGGTTTTTACACATACGAGGAATTTGTCTTGGTGCAGTGGTGCATAAAATACACAATCACACAAAAAAATACTTTTAAAATATAAATAAATTAAAGCTGCAAGCAGCATTGGGCGGGACCTCGCACTCCACGCAACTCTGGGCGTGGTGCGGCCGCGTCACATGCCGCCGTAACACGTTGGACCACAACATGAAAATTTCACGTCACACCACTCCCAACCCCTCATTGCCAGAAGCTGAAGGAGACCACTCTACATTGTCACACGTTTCAGACACTGCAAAAGACTTACGCTTTCATAGAGAGACTCTTCACTGCGAAAGGTGGAAATTCAGCGCCACGCCACGGACACAGTTTGACGCACAGTAAATATTTGATTAACTTCGGATCACCAATGTGTCTGGATTGCAGTGATCGAATATGAAGTCAATATGATAAAATCAGTAGGAGTTAGTTAAACAAGAAGCCCTGAAATGCCGGAAATGGCATTACAGTGTGAAATTCAATTCATACTGGCCAAATTTGACGGCACGCCACGGACACGCCCTTCAACGTACAGTCGCAAATAGCACGGCGTTCAGTCAGCTACATTTTCTGACTGTACTGACCAATTTTGAAGCAGATCCGATAAATTCCCTAGGAGGGGTTCATTTAAAAAACAAGGCGAAAATTCACCGAAAATGACCAAGGAATTCAAAATGGCCAACTTTGATGGCACACCACGGACACGCCCTTCAACGTACAGTCACAAAAAGCACGGCATTCATTTTTTTGGGGGGATGGGTCCAAGAGGCTTCTCTGTAGGCCTCGGCACGTTACACTTGCCTACCAAGTTTTTACATATTGGTGAAACGTGGCGCCAGGGCTGCTTTGTTGAAATACTGTAGGGGGCGCTACAAACACGATTTTTGTTGTGTGAGCTACAGGCACCAGTCTACACGCGTCCTGTGAGTTTCATATTCATAACTATTACGGTCTCCGCAGAGTGATTTACCCTGCCACCAGAGCGCCACCCAGTGGCGTGGTTTATTTTTCCTTTTTTAGCAAGCCTCAGGGAGCCATGGGCAATCATCGTACCAAGTTTCATTTAAATCACACTTGCTGATGTCGAGATATAAACTTATTCTTTTTAAAGAGCGCCACCTTGTGGCGATGGCCTGAAATTGTGCACGATGCTTAGTGAAGACATAAGGAAGTATTGATCCAAGGTTGGTGTCAATCGGACATACCAATGTGGAGAAATGCCCCACTTCCTTTTTTGACGAAAAATCAACAGGAAGTGCTAATTTAATAACGTGCTTATTTTTTTACATATCAAAATGCTTTAAATTACTTTTTTTGCCAGGACGGTCTCCAGATGCTACGTGAAAAGTTTCGTGGGAATCGCACAACAGCACATGGGTGGAACACGAAATCGTAGTTTTTGGACATTTCCAATTTTCAACCATCCCGCGCCCTAGCGGGAAATGCAGCTCCATTCCCCGAACGCGTGGATATAAGGTTTTTGAATGTGAGACAAATGATGCGGGAGTTATTAGCCTAAAACCACTTTTCTTAATGATAGCGCCACCTAGTGGCCGACCCCAAAGCGACCATAGAATTTCAGTGCTTTCACCAGGCCTGACAAATTTGCCAAATAAAATTCATGCAAAGTATATGTTCAGGGGTTCTGAATAATAATAAACATAGCAAAAACAATATCATCCTTCCAGTTGATACTGGCTCGGTCCGTAATAAAGATAAGAAAACTGTACAGAAAATGGGAGTGCACTAATGTAATGCATATATACAGGGTAGGTATAAGAGTCAGTGTCAGTGGGGGATCCTGGCCCTGTTAATGAGGCCAGTTGCAGACGGAAAGAAACTGTTTTCATGGCGTGAGGTTTTGGTCCTGATGGACCGCAGCCTCCTGCCAGAGGGGAGTGATTCCAAGAGTTTGTGACCGTGGTGTGAGGGGTCAGCCACAATCTTGCCTGCACGCCTCAGGGTCCTAGTGGCATACAGGTCCTGGAGGGACGGCAGATTGAATGATACACTGCAGTCTGCCCTTGTCCTTGGCAGTGGCAGCAGCGTACCAGATGGTGATGGAAGAGGTGAGGATGGACTCGATGATGGCGGTGTAGAAGTGCACCATCATCGTCTTTGGCAGGTTGAACTTCCTCAGCTGCTGCAGGAAGTACATCCTCTGCTGGGCTTTCTTGGTGAGGTCCTGGGTGATGATGGTATCCAGGAAGCGGAAGGACTCCACAGAGTCAACTTGGGAGTCACACAGGATGATGGGGGGCAGGTGGGGCTGGGTTCTTTCTGAAGTCCACAACCATCTCCACTGTTTTCAGAGTGTTTAGCTCCAGGTTGTTCTGGCTGCAACAGGTCACACATCAGTAAAACGTTACACAAAAAGCAACAAAAAAAACAATCACCAGCCTCCAACCTACTATTTTTAGCTTCTCACAAGGCTTAACAGCTTCTGACTGTCCCTCATATTACAACAGAAAGTCTGACATCGGCCTAGCCTGTGTGACTACAATGTTAGCCACATTAGCTGCTAACCTACACAATAAACAGTAAAACAACATTAAATAGAGAAAAACTTACAGCTTCCAAGTGTTGATTTTTTTCACAGTTTCTGGGTTGGTAGGCCACCCAAATACCTAAATATATGTGTAAGAACATTACTAAAGTGCATTTTGCATAATATGTCCCATTAAAGCATTATACACAATAACGTATAACAACAACAAACATAACATTTGCTAACTTAAACTGATTGTCCAGTAAAAAACAGCTTTCCTCAAGATAACATTTATTCTTCCTCTCAACTTCCTTTTATTTGTATATTAGAGTTTCCACTTTACCTTAGGATGTCATACTTTTTCAGTCTTTCGACGGGTTTACAAGCTCTACCAGACTGTCATTATCTGACCTTCTGGCATGTTTCTGTTAAGGCCATTACCTTCACTCCATACCAAGAGCCCTGTTGTTGTGTGCCTGTTCCTTGGCTCTATTCATGGTCCCTGAGTTCACTGTTGCTTCTACTGAAGTTGTAGATGTTCCCTGTTCCTTCTCACCTCCCCTCCCATTGGTGAGTTCACCTGGTATAGCACTGAATACTGTTCTCCTGGATTACAGATGCTGGTCCTTTACATGTCTTGTCCTAATTCAACTGTTTGTTGAAGTAGAATGCTTCTTGTTGCTTAGCCTTAGCATCCCTGATTAGGCCACTTAGGGATGAGATGTTTAAGATGTTTCTTTTGAGAGAAGGGAGTGTCGTTCATGAGCAGTTCAGCTGGGATTTACACCAGTAGAGGTTGCTGGTGTTGCTCTGTGGCAACATTGCGTTGCGTTTACTTGTTTTCCTGACAGAAGGGCATGTTTCCACAGTGCATATCCAAAGATATGATTCATATGATATGATTCATATCCAAAGATTCTGTTCTAGAAGCGCCGCAGAGTGGCAGCTTGAGGCAACAGCTCCCACTCCGCCTCTTATTTTTTCGCCTTAAATCTTACTAGTTCTTTACTTCCTTCTTAAATAGCACTGTATTTATTGTTGTAAACAGACCTCCAGTGTTGATAGTTATTTTTTTTACTTTTTTAGCTGTAGTTGAACTTAGTTTTTTTTAATATAAACAATGTGTAGGAATGTGGACACAACCACCACACAACAAAACAGGTTGCTGTGCACCTGTCTGTCTGTCTGTCTGTCTGTCTGTCTGTCTCTCTCGCTCTCTCTCTTTCACCCCAACTGGTCGAGGCAGACGACCACCCACCTAGAGCTGAAGGATCTGTCCTAGGTTTCTGCCTTTTAACAGGCAGTTTTTCCTTGCCCTTGTCGCCAAGTGCTTGCTCATGGTGGTACTGTTGGGTCTCTGTAAATAATGTTTTAAAGAGTTCGGTCTAGACCTACTCTATTTGAAAAGTGTCCTGAGATAACTTCTGTTATGAATTGGCGCTATACAAATAAAATTGAAAATTTAAATTGAAACACCGGAAGTTATTCACGTGAGGACTTCCTATGGTATTGGGATTTACGTGTCGCATGCCCGAGGGAGATCCCGGTGGAGTTAAGGAGACGAAGGAGAGGAACCAGAGCAGGCATGTTGGTGAGGACCAAAAAGTGGCACTGGTCAACGGACAGCAGGAGTATCGGGAGTGCAGCATATTATGTCTGACGGAGACATGGCTGAATGACATTACACCAGACTGTTCAGTGGAACTAGCCAGTTTTTCACTAGTTCGGGCAGACAGGAAGAAACAGAGCGGTAAAAAGTCTGGAGGAGGGCTCTCTCTTTGTGAACTCTAAATGGTGTAACCCTGGACATGTTGTCAAGAAGGCAGAAATCTGCACACCTGATATCGGACTTCTAGCCATAGGGTTAAGGCCATACTATGTGCCCCCTGAGTTCACAGCCACTATTGTCGTCACTGTTTACATTCCTCCATCGGCAGTAGCGGCGCACGCCTGTGACGTCATCCCAGGGAAGCTGAAAGCCATCATGGACAACCCCTGTCATCCTCTCCACGCTGAACGGAGGCAGCTCAGGAGCATCTTCAGCTACAGACTGACCCAGCCCCGAGCCTCAAAGCGGTTTGGAGGCTCATTTTTACCATCTGCCATCAGACTCCACAACGCCACAGCTCGCAGTTACTCCAACCCCAGCAGATAAAGACTGGTTTAGAACTCCTACCTACAACGCACAAACCTTTTGCACTATTTATATTTAATTTCCACTTAAGTAGTTTGGTAGTTTTAGTTTAGTTTTTTAGTTTTAGTCAAGTTTAATTTTCTGCTCATATTTTGGACTCCATGTGCTACTTGAACAACAAATAGTGTATATACTTTAATTTATGGTTTTTATATCTTCTAATATTAATAATATTAGCAATTATTTTCTGTGATATTCTATTCTATTTCTATTCTATTCTTTGTTTTCTGTTTTTGCGCTGCTTTGCCCTATTGCTGCTGTGTCAAAATTAATTTCTCCTTAGGGGGATGAATAAAGGAATTATCCTATCTCTCTTATCTTATATGTTAGGCCACCTTTGTATGTTCTCTGCATTCTGACAGGCTTTGGTGTCCATCATGTATCCGCTCCAGTATTTCCTGTCTCATTGACTGTGGAATTACAATGCAACAGTTTAGTGGATTTGGCCCTCAAATCTTGACAGGGAATCTTTCACTGTGTAGTAATCTTTCACACTGTTAGTGATGCTCCTCACATATTCAAGCCATCCATCCTTAATCATCTTCCGTACACTCTGCAGCTGCTTATCCCTCTGTGCAGCAGACCTTATTCTGTCAAGTATGTGCTGGGATATTGGCCAACTGTGAGTGACAGCCTTTACATGACAAGCAACATCTGTCTCTGTGGTATTGTCTCCATCTCTTACAGGGCTGTGTGATAACGCATCTGCAATGACCAGTGTTTTCCCTGGTTCATATTTTGCCATGGCATTACCACATGCAAAACCCTACTATTTATCAGTGGCACCAGAGGCTTATTATCTGTGTTGAGTCTGAATTTGTCCATGACTTTTGGTACTATTGAAACCTCTTGCTTGCCCATACATCTGATAAACATTCCTTCTCAATTTCCACAATCCTTGTTTCTGCATCTGTTTGTTTGTTTGTTTGTTTGTTTTACTTTATTAATCCCACAATGGGGAAATTCCCTTGTCACAGCAGCAATTAATTAATTAATTAATTAGAAGATGGCTGAAGCAACCACAGAGTCATAAAAAGTCTTGAGGAATCAGGCCCTTCTTGTAGAGAGCATGGGTGTTGTCAGTAAAGTCCAGTTTTTTTATTGAGGTGAACACCCAGGAATTTCTAATTATCTACCACCTCAATGTCCAATCCCTGGATGTTCACTGGGGTGAAGTGGGATGTTTTCCTCCTGAAGTTAACGATCATCTCCTTCGTCTTGCCAGTGTTTAGCTGAAGCTGGTTGAGCTTACACCAGCTGACAAAGTCCCTGATAACAGTCCTGTATTCCAGTTTGTTCCCCTCAGAAATGCATCCAACAATGGCTGTGTCATCTGAGAAGTTCTGGATATGGCAGAGTGTGGAATTGTGGGTAAAGTCCGAGGTGCAAAGGGTAAAGAGGAAGGGAGAGAGCACCATACCCTGAGGGGCACCTGTGTTGCAGAGCACAACGTCAGACACACAGTGTTGGAGCCTCACATACTGTGGTCTGTTGGTGAGATAATCTATTGTCCATGCAGCCAGTTGTTGGTCCACTCCCACACTTTCCATCTTCACTCTGAGCAGTGATGGCTGGATAGTGTTGAAAGCACTGGAGAAGTAAAAAAACATGACCCTCACCGTGCTCCCGCTGTCCTCCAGGTGTAGCAGGGATCTGAGTAGCAGGTAGATTACTGCGTCGTCCACCCCAATACCAGGCTGGTAAGCAAACTGCAGGGGGTCCAGCTGTGTGCCCACCAGGGTCGCAGGTGTCTCAGGATGATCCTCTCCATTCTGACAGTCTCTATCTAGTATATATTTTCTCATGTAATTAATCATGCCCAGGGCTCGCTTCAGCTTGTGCACATCTGTGGGCTCCTATAATTGGCTGATGGCATTGACTTTACCTGGGTCTGCTCTCACACCTTTGGCATCCACTATGTGGCCCAGGAACTGAGCCTCTGGCTGTCTAAACACACATTTTTCCTTGTTGAGTAGACAGACAAGCTCAATTTTCTCCAATTCTCTCCAATGTGCACTGCAGGTTTGCATCGTCCATATACACAGCTACTCCCTCCAGTCCTTCCAAAAATTCATTCATTTTGTGCATGAAAATCTCTGGGGCAATATTTAGGCAAGGCAGGCCAAGGTGCGTGCTTAGAACAATACCTCCCAAAAGGTATGATGAAGGTGGTTAGGAGGCTGCTGTCTTCATACAATGGTATTGCCAAAAGCCTGAATCTACATCCATAGATGTGTCTCCTCTGCTGTTGGCATTTGATTTCTCTCTCTTTTAAATGTTTTCATTTAGCTTTTGGAGTCCTATGCAGATTTTCACAGTGCCTGTTCATGACTGGCACCATCGGTACGCACCAGTCTGTAGGTTGCGTGACCTTCTCTATCACGCCCTGCTCCTCTATTTGCTACAACTCAGTTTGTACTAAGAACTAAGTTAGGAATTTTGGGCCCCATGACAAAAAAATCAAATTGGGCCCCCTCTGTGCAGCTGTTGTCACCACATCTCTCAGACCTAACTGTCCCATCAAAAGCTTTACATAACTCTAATTAAAGGCTTGCAACTGATTTGTACATGCATGCAAGTCTGCATACAGTATGCACTTCACTAAACTAAATGTGCTAAAGGCCATCTTTTACAGTCTCAGTGTATTTTATTGTAAAATTTCAAAATGGAAAATTCTTCTCAAATAAATTGCCCTTCATGATGGGAATAATAAAGTCTGTATCTATAGATGTCATTCCATAATTCAATCTAAATGAACGTATCAAACTGGATTATTTTAATGTCTGTATCTTAAATGCAGCTCAGGTAAACTACTCACTGTTTCCAACTATCCAGCATCCAGTACATACAGTAGGTTGTTGTTGGTTTTTTTTTATTTCATAATGATCATTATGTGAGAAAATATTAATGTGTTTGAATTTCTGTCATTAATAAATATTTCATTTTCTTTTTTGTAATGGTAAAAAGAGCAAGAGAGAAATCCCCACAGACTCCCTGCAATGACGCTGACTGGCCTGTCATGGAACACAATGTTGCTCACCTTCTTCACTGGGACAGGGAGGGGTACAGTGATGGGGGGGACTGGGGTGCTGCCGACTCATCTGTTGTTAAGTCTGCTAAAAGGGGCAGGGACAATGATTTAATGTGAATATGTTGCTAAACGTTTCCCTGAACTGATTAAATGGTGATTAAATGTACACTAGTCTGTAGCTTTTCTTATTTCACTATGGACATTAAGCCAACAGGTTAATACCACTCACAGACTATAGGCTCCTTTCTTGGTGAAACACTGGGTTACAGATTGACATCCTTTCCTTTGTCTTTCCTCTCTCTCTTTTCTCTCTTTCCTTTTTTGAAAACCAGATTTTGATTTACTAGGCAACATTGTGATCACTGTACTTCTGGCACATCTACTGACTGCAACTAAACAGGACCAAACCATTTCATGCAGATACAGGGGGGTGGTCGGTCAATATGGATGTTTACTTTTTGGTCAATGGGGATATTTAACTTTTACTGCCAAAAACAAGTAAAAACAAAGAGATGATTAATTTTATATTTATATTTGGAATATATATACTGAATGATGATGGTTTAATCATTTTATATTAGTTTTTACCTATTTTTTGGGGCCCCTGTCAGTCATGGGCCCTTGGAATTGTCCTAACTTTTCCAGCGCCCTTGGCTGTGTGTACTGCATATAGTACAGCTCCATTTCTTAAGTGGATCTTAACTGGGTCTGTTTTAAGTTTCCCCTGACGTTCTAGTGTGCACTAACCTGCTCTACTCTTCTAACAGCCTAATATCTACTTCTATCTCTCTTGCTAACAGGTTGCAGACTGTTGGCCCTCTCGCTACATATACGATGAAGATGAACTTTTTATGTACTGTTTATGAAGTGTACGAGCAGTGAACTGTACCACAATATTAAGTGTCCCACCCGGCTGTCTAGGGGTTTGCTAGATGTAACTAGCTTTCTCTTTGGCCTAAGTGCTCTGAATGTCTTTAGGTTCATCACAGTAACATCAGCAAATCAGTAAAATCAGGGCAGCCAGTGCTCAGCATTTCCCTGATTTACTTTACTTACTGCTCCAAGATAAAGGTTTGTCTCTGTGTCTTTATTATTATTTCTTTTGCTGACTTGGAGAAACAGTTTCTCTCCCAGTGGCTGTAAGCAGACAGCTTTATGTACCTGTATTGTCCAACACCGACACTGGACCTTTGGGTCCAACAGGTTTTACTGGACTGATACAGGCCGAATCACCACAGGTTGTTTGTGCTTAAAATAAGATTCTACAAGAAAATTAGTTGAATGCCACAAGTTCTCTTAAATCTCGTGTATGTGTTCCTATGAGTGGCACTTAAGTGACTCTTCTTTAAGATGTACTTTTTCTCTTGTACCATGAGAGGTCCTCCTTTAGTCATACAGGTACTGAACCGACAGAACATCTTCTGTATACTTGACTCCTGCGTACCATATAGATGTTTAACTGCTACTTAAAGCACATGTCTTAATAACCTCTCATTGAAATGCACCATTTTGACTTTTTCCAAAACTAAATTTATTGTACTGAACTGACACTAAATTAAAATAATGTTAAAGTTTAAATTAACAAATGTTTTCCTTTTAAACACTTATTTTCTCTGATCGTATTTAGTATTCATCTCTCAACAGTCATGACAAAAATAATTTTAAAAAAGTTATACAGGACGTGAGGTTACTTTCCCTTCAAAATAAAGTAAACTTGTTTCTTAACATTAAAAGTATTGCATCTCCAAGTTTTCGTTTAATGTGCCTTACTGGACGCGAATTCAACTTGTTTTTTCATGCGCTTGTCTGTTAGGGCAACAAGTTTGTCACTTAACAGGGATTACCAGCTACCGTGCGCATGCGCCGATCGTGCAAGCAGCTTGTTTTTACGCCTTTACTTTATATTCTCTCTCTATTTTCTATAAATATTGTCGTTATATATTTAAATATAATGCACATAGTTTGAAGTCCTTTTTATTACTTCTAGTGTCTTGTTTAGCGACTTAAGCATATGTAACGAAACCAATTTTCCCCAGGGACCAATGAAGTATTTCAGATTTTTCAGATTTATTTTGAAAATTATCACCGGAAATACAGCGTCCCTTCAACTTGACATCGGAATGACTCCTAGCATGGAGCCAGTATCTTCCCAACCAGCGCCCAACTTGAAAAAGGATTTGAGCGTAAAATAAAATGGTGTTTAAAAGTTCCGTCTGCGGAACATACGCAGAGAGAGGATATATGATTTAGAGACATACAGGAAGACGTCGAAACGGAGGAGAGAGAAGGAGAGAGGGATTCTTTCTAAAGTCAACACAGCAACAAGGTAAGAAGAGAGGCGCCTGGCCAAAACTCTGACAACCGTGTTTTACTGTGTGATTTCTGCTTACAGAAGATAGAAGATATATATAGAAGAACAGATACGCTGCTTTACTTGTTCTCCTTATTGGCCTTTGTGCTTTATGTTTGCAACGCTGCAGCTTCAAACAACGAACTTTTGAGGTTGGGCAGGAAAAGCTCATTTTACTCTTCTGTTGGTGGAACTCAACGTCAGTTTGACGCTGTCTACATGATGTAGTCCTTCGAGAAGAATAACTTTATTGAAGGCTATTTTATTTCCCACAGGAAGTTGGTGTATGTGTGCGGTTTCCGTATGCTGTAATTTAAGCGACATTAGCTAACATACAATTGCAAGATACTCTCGTGTCACTAACAGGCAGTGGTGGAATGTAACTAAGTACTGTACTTAACTACAGATTCAGGGTACTTGTACTGAAGTGTTTCCATTTTATGCACCTTTCTACTTCAACTCCACTACTCCTCAGAGTCAAATATTCTACTTCTATAAATATAATGGACCAATACATTTGTCTGACAGCCTAAGTTACTAATTACTTTTTAAGTTACAACTTTTCATACCTTGTCTGTCTAGTGAAAACCATGTATTTCCAGATTTGGTGATTTTGAGTTTACATCTTTCTGAGAAACTGAATGATGGTCTTTTTATGGGCTGAGAAATCAAAAGTCTGAAACAGGGCTAGCCAGTCCTGAGCTCATAGCTCAAAGCTGACTTTTTAGACACATGTGGTTTTCACAGGACAGTCCCACTACAAACATACGATGATCCTACAGAATATGATGCATTGCTGTAGGTTACCCAACAGGCAGGCTGTGTGTTGACAAGAATCTGGTGATACCATACCCATCACGATAGAGGGGTTACAATTAAATATATATTGTGAAATTGTAAGCTAGGCAATATATTGCGATTCAATTTAAAAAAAAATAAATAATAATTTTAGGATAAGTGTCATAGTATAAAGAACACACCACCATATCCATACAATCTGAGGTAATTTTTTAAACTTTGCATTTGTATTCATCACAGTCTCTGTAACATCCAATATCATAGCCCTCAGTTTATGTAGTTCAACACTGCTATCTTGTGGTTGGGGATCTAACCAAAAATAAATAAATAAATAAAATATTTTACCCAACAATATATGAAGAGGTTAAAATGAACCCAACCATAAACATCTACAGCTGTAAAATTCAACATACACAATGCAGCAATGATATGAATCCATAAACATCAGATCTTAGAAATGAAATACTGCGCAGACATCAGTTTCGATGTTTACAAAGAAGAGGAAATATGCATTATTTTGCACAGTTTACCTTCAATCTCGTTTTGTTAAAAAAATGTTGTAAAAATGTCTTGTGTCACGAATTGTCGGGAGTGTATCCTTTCATCCCTATCATATATAAAATATAATTTTTCAAGTTTACAGATACAAGATACCTACAAAAATCATGATATACATCATACTTTTAAAATAGCACTAAAGCATACTGGAATCACTTTACCATAGTTTAAAAAAAAAAAAATATATATATATATATATTTGTTGCATCACAGATAGAAATCTCATCTCCCTGTTCTTTATTTTGGAATCTATACTGTTTCCACACATCAAGTTCAACTTTATTTTGTGGGGGATACAACGATCAAGTTGAGCCTTCAGCCATGGTGACAGGATTAGGATTTTGGAATGACTTGAAAGATGCAGGGTCCCTTTAGTCCCCGTGTTAATGAATGAGGAAATCAATATAGGACTGGACATACTTGTATGCTGGCCTGCTAGACAGCATTTTTAAGTCAAGCCCTGAGAGGATATTCACGATTATCACGATAATGAAAATTCACCACAATATATTTATGATATATTATATATATACAAGTGATAATGTTGTGTATAGTCCCATCCCTAGTAATGTCACCATCAATGATCCCTAAGTAGGTGTTTGTGTTCCTCTGTGTGACCAGCCATGCCCCACCTACAACAAAGATCTGTGAGAGAAGTACCATGACAATGACACGCAAGGGCCACTGTTCGGACTCAAACCCATAGCTGCTGCTAGACTTAGCCCTGATACAGATACAGATGATTGACATGATTCCAAATGAAGCATTTTTGTGAAGCAAAGTTAAGGCAACCTGCAAATTAAGTTTATTTTTAATTTGCACAACTTTTCTTGTGATAGGAAGTCAATAAGTTATACAATTTTAATATGGGAATTTAAAAATGCATGACGGTGCAAAGAAAACAGGGCAGAGCTATTTAACGTCCGTGTCATTTGTAAAGGTCGCCCTGTGATGTACACATCTTCAAATACGATGATGGAAAGGTTTAGGGGAAAAAGTTACAGATCAACAACGGTTGAGCAGAAGGAGCAACACATATAGATGAGAATATGAGAATTACAGGTAATTATATGGGCAAGTTAATTTACAAGCCTGCAAATATTTTATTTTGAAAATATGTTAGTGTGAGATGGAAATAAAGGAATATGTCCAGAAAAGGAAACAGAGATGCTCTTCTGCAGCAACATAAGCAGTGTGATATTTTAGGCCAATCACAGAATGTTCCACTGTGCTAGCTGTGTGAGTCCTGATGAGAGAGAGGCTGCAAATCCAGCTGTTTCCTTTTCTGTCTCTCTGTACAGTTTAGCTGCTTGGTCAGCATGGCCACACTTCCATTCAACTGTTGCTGCTCAAAATGTTACCAATTTTATTTAGATATAGTTCTTATGTAGTTGTTTATGTTTAGACAACATTTAATTTTGAACAGCTTTGGCCCTGTTTTTTACATGAAAAAAAGGTTTAGTAACAAACATGTTAACATTTCTTAAAGTATTGTAAAAAGTAGGGATGCACTGATTCAATATGGTGGATCAAAATTGCCGGAAACATATTGAGTGGATCGGCCATGATGTTGACATGTTGGTGATGTTTGTTTGTTTGTCAAACAAGGTGGGTTCAGGCAGTGAAACGAAAGGCGTCAAACGGAGAAGGAGGGGCGAGTTTGTAGCAAGTTAATTTGTAAGTAACTGTTAACATTATACATATATCATCATATATACAGTTCAATTCAATTCAATTTTATTTGTATAGCGCCAATTCATAACAGAAGTTATCTCAGGAACCTTTTCAAATAGAGCAGGTCTAGACCGAACTCTTTATAACATTAATTACAGAGACCCAACAGTACCACCATGAGCAAGGGTGGTCGTCTGTCTCGACCAGTTGGGGTGAGAGAGAGAGAGGCAGAGAGAGAGAGAGAGAGCGAGAGACAGACAGTTGTGGCCAAAGGTTTTGAGAATGACACAAATATTACATTTTCACAGGGTCTGCTGCTTCAGGGTTTTTAGGTGTTTTTGACAGATGTTTCTATGGTATACTGAAATATATCTCTGGGGAGTTTCCTGGCCATGGACCCAAAATCTTTGTTTTGTTCCCCGAGCCATTTAGTTATTACTTTTGCTTTATGGTAAGGTGCTCCATCATGCTGGAAAAGGCATTGTTCATCACCAAACTGTTCTTGGATGGTTGGGAGAAGTTGCTCTCGGAGGACGTTCTGGTACCATTTTTTATTCATGGCTGTGTTTTTAGGCAAGATTGTGAGAGAGCCCACTCCCTTGACTGGGAAGCAACCCCACACATGAATGGTCTCAGGATGCTTTACTGTTGGCATGAGACAGGACTGATGGTAGCGCTCACCTCGTCTTCTCCGAACAAGCTTTTTCCAGATGCCCGAAACAATCAGAAAGGGGATTCATCAGAGAAAATTACTTTACCCCAGTCCTCAGCAGTCCAATCCCTGTACCTTTTGCAGAATATCAGTCTGTCCCTGATGTTTTTTCTGGAGAGAAGTGGCTTCTTTGCTGCCCTTCTTGACACCAGGCCTTCCTCCAAAAGTCTTCGCCTCACTGTGCGTGCAGATGCACTCACACCTGCCTGCTGCCATTCCTGAGCAAGCTCTGCACTGGTGGTGGCCCGATCCCGCAGCTGAAACAACTTTAGGAGACGGTCCTGGCGCTTGCTGGACTTTCTTGGGCGCCCTGAAGCCTGTTTGGCAACAATTGAACCTCTCTCCTTGAAGTTCTTGATAATCCGATAGATGGTTGACTGACGTGCAATCTTACTAGCTGCTATAAACTTCCCTGTTAGGCCCTTTTTGTGCAATGCAATGATGACTACACGTGTTTCCTTGCAGGTAACCATGGTTAACAGAAGAGGAACAATGATGTCAAGCGCCATCCTCCTTTTAAAGTGTCCAGTCTGTTATTCTAACTCAGTCATGACAGATTGATCTCCAGCCTTGTCCTCATCAACTCCCACACCTGTTAACGGAGGAATCATTGAAATTATGTTAGCTGGTCCTTTAGTGGCAGGGCTGAAATGCAGTGGAAATGTTTTTTTGGGGATAAAGTTCATTTTCAAGGCAAAGAGGGACTTTGCAATTAATTGCAGTTGAGCTGATCACTTCTCAGTATATGCAAATTGTCATTATAAAAACTGAAGCAGCAGACTTTGTGAAAATTAATATTTGTGTCATTCTCAAAACTGACTCTCAAACACGACTGTACATCATCATATCAATAAGTCTGCAAGTTACAAGTTATTTTTTGGTGTTTTGAACAACAATGCTGGGTTGGAATAAATGGTAGTTGTTCATACACATACAGATTAATTACCGCTTTTTCTATTATCATTTAACAGGCGGCTGTTAAAATCTATATATTTAAATAACTAAAGTAATATCATAGATGTGTGACGACTAGCCGACTATTGGCTTTATTTAATGACCACTAGTTGACTAGGAAAATCTTTAGTCGGGGGCAGCCCTAGTGCCATGCCATTGTTCCAACGGCCCAAAAAAGCCTGTTATTCTGAAACGCCCTTTGCTCATGATGATCTTTTGCATGATCTTTTCCAAAACCTAACCAAATAGATTTCATGCATGAACCTAGCCCAACTACAATCACATTTTCATAATTGTTGCCAGACAACAAAGGTCACCTGACAATGACAACAAAGGTAATATCTTTTCTTTTCGTAAAAACAGGCTTTTGTTTTTTTTCGGATTAATGAGCTGTCACACAAATTCTTTTTTTCTGACTATTTGGGTGTCAGATTAATGGGTCGTTGGAACAATGAGCAGTTACCTATAAAATACTGTTACATTTTCTTCAGTCATGACAGAGCAAAGGCCAACAGAGAATATATTATTGGCTTTTTCCGTACTAGTGCTGATCCAATAACAGTCAATCAGTGAAATACTTGATACTTGGCTGTATTAGCAAAGTTGTCGACTCGCTAGTTTTTCATCTTTTTTTTATTTTTATATATGTATGTTTACAGGTGTACTGAAACTGGCGGCGCCAAATTCCACAAATACCAAATCTTGCATAAAACATAATGTTGCTTTACACAAGATTTCCTGTATTTAACAGTATGCATAATAACAATATGTATATATCCTTTCTGACCACAGACTCTAGCTGGTGTCGTACTGGGTAACACATCTGTGGTGGCTGTGGCTCAGAGGCAGAGCGGGTTGTCCACTTATTGGAAGTTTGTTGGTTCCATCCCGTCACATGTCAGAGTATCCTTGAGCAAGATACTGAACCCAAATTGCTCCCAAAGCTGTTCATCGGTGTGTGAACGTGTATGAATGTGTTAGTTTCTGTTCGATGGGCTTTGCCATCGCTGAGTGAATGTGTGTGAAAGGGTGAATGTGGCATGTAGTCTAAAAGTTCTTTGAGTGGTTGGAAGACTAGAAAGGCGCTATACAAGTACAGGTATTACATTTACTATTTACATCTTCAATCTGAGAAACAGTGAACTGGTGAAATGTGAGTGTGTGTGTGGTTGAGATTCAAGGAATATTGGGAATGTGAAAAATGGGTAGACCCAGTATGCTGAGAGAGAGGAACAAGTGCTGTGGTAAGGAACAAGTTCTGTGGTGAGGACGTGAGACTCTTCCTGTAGAGAATCCTCAGAACAATAAAACAGGGGCCGGCAGACAGAGAAGATGTTCTTCCTTTCTTGGAGGAGCAATAAAACACTGAAAACATGTTTGCTGTCAAACACTCCTTTTTTTGTAGCTTATCTCACATCTCCTCAAAATACTCACCACACTGAAAGCACACACACCCTGTTTTCTCCTGTCTTTCTCTTGTCTGTCTCAGTGCGTATTTCTTTTTGTCTCACACACAACAGTAAGCACTGGTATTTGTGGGCTAACCAGTGTGGATGTTTTACTGTTGAGTCATACTCATAGACACAGTCTTCTCAGGGCTCTGGGTATTTCCTTGTAGCTTCTTGTTATTGGGGGCTGTGATGTACAGCAGGATTTTTTTTTACATCACTGCACACTATCTGAGCTGAGCGTCTGCCTGTATGTGCCAGCAGGTTCATCTTTAATTCCCTAATTTAACCCCATTCAGACTGAAACAGGCCTCTTGTTGATGATGGTGACATTTCAGGCATACACTGATCAATTAAATCCATCATCATTCAATTATGTTTTCAGCAACAAATAAAAAAAACCCAACAAATTGAAAGAAACATTTTAAGGAGCTTCTGGCCGCTGCGTCATCCGGTGCAGCCGTTGCGGATACTTTTACTAGGAGTGAGAGATGCTCTGCTCCAAAAACACAATGTTGGAGAGAAGAATAAAAATATTTTCGGTTCATTATAAAACTACAGTGGGATAATTTAGACTGTGGTGTGTTGCCATAGCTTGGCAGCAGTAGCTCAGTTTGTAGGGAAAGACCACAATATGAAGTGTGGACTGGTAGCTGGAAAGGTGCCAGTTTCCCCTCTTGTGCACTGCCGAGGTGCCATTGAGCAAGGCAACCTAAACCCAAGAAACTGCTCATGGGCGCCGCTAACGTGGCAGCCCATCAATCCATCATCTCTCTCCCTGTTGCATGTCCACAAGTGCATGAAGTGTGTATTATCAGCTTCACTTACCTTTTTCCATTATGTAATTTTAAGGAAACTGAGACTTACCTGCTCCTCCTGGATTCTGCATCACTAGGGCGCTGATAGGTAGCCTTTAAGTAGGTGATTGACACGGCCTGTGGGTGAGTTATATGGCATAGAGCAACAGTTTTCCGACCACAGTGCTTTTTAGGAAATTAATTTAAACGGTGTGTATGATCCCTTTTTATAGATGTTTTGTTGGAAAAGTCAATCAGAGTGTATTGATAAATAAAGGATATTTCAGTTCAGTCTATTTTAGACTATATTTCCGTGCATGCTTTATGAAGAGTGTGTATCGGCTACTCCTCACTTAACTCCAGGTGGCTTCCATGAACTTTTATTAGCCACTTCAAGACAAATGGAGTGTACTGAAGGATTTACTGTTCAGCAAGATTATGTTCCAAGGCTGGATTTTTAACAATTTAACCTCAGTGTGATTTTGATTGAGGTTTTCATCCTTCTGGAGCAGAAGTTGGACGTTGTGGCTTTATTTAAGCTATCAATGGAAAAGTAGAACATTTTGTGGAGCATTCAGGGATTGGTCTGTTATTTGACAAATAATGGTTTTAGATTAGGTAGACCATATAGAGCTGTGCAGAAGTGATTCATTTAAGTCGAAGACACTGTTACACTGCTCTGTTAGGTTGTGATACTTGCCAATTGCTCTGCTAGGAGAGACACACTAAATAGCACTTCTCTGTGGTCACATTACAGTAATGTCACTTCACCCACGTATAAAAAGGAACTGGATTATTCATTTCAGTGTTTGCTGAGAGTGTTGTATGAGTGGTAAATGGACCTGTATTTATATAGAGCCTTTCTAGTCTTCCGACAAATCAAAGCTCTTTTACACTACATGTCGCATTCACTTATTCACACACATTCATACAGTGATGGCAAAGCCCATCACAAACAGAGACAAATACTCATTCATACACCAATGCACAGCATGAGGAGCAATTTGGAGTTCAGTATCTTGCACAACAACAGTTTAACATGCAGTGGGGATCAATTCCAAAGTCTGTTTAATTTTTTCTTTAGGCAAGAGG